TGCATTCTGCCCGAGTCCACCTCTATGCGGCCTGCCCACTTGAGCTATGTCCCTCGGCTGCATTCTGCTCGAGTACATCTCTGCGCGGCCTACCTGCTTGAGCCGTGTCCCTTGGCTGCAGTATGCCCGAGTCCACATCTGCGCGGCCTGCTCGCTTGAGCTATGTCCCTCGATTGCATTCTGCCTGAGTCCACCTCTACGCGGCCTACTCGCCTGAGTCATGCCCCTCGGCTGCATTCTGCCTTAGTCCACCTCTATGCGGCCTGCCCACCTGAGCCGTGTCCCTCGGCTGCATTCTGCCCGAGTCCACCTCTGCGCAGCCTGCCCACCTGAGCCGTGTCCCTCGGCTACATCTGCCCGGGTCCATCTCTACGCGACCTGCCCACTCGAGCTGCATATCTCGGTCGCAAACCACATGATTCCTACACCTCGGCACCATCCGCTCATCCGAGTCTTCCGCCCTGCCCAAGTCATACCCCTCGGTCACACGTCGTATAGGATGAACGGGCTAGCAACCGACCATCGCGATCCTCTGGAAACCTTCCTGACACTGACCCGAGGGTGAATCGATGGGAACGACCACTGAAAACAGAAGCCACGCCCCGGACCCCCCCAGCAATGACCGACACATGGCTTCCTTCAAGGGGGGGGGGAATGATGAGGGTAATAATAATGATGGAACGCAAACTGACGTCGCTTGCTCCTGGGTGACGTCTCCTGTGTCACGTGAACCTAGGAGACACATGGGTCATCTACCTCGGTCTGACCTAACAGCACTGGGCCGAGGCAGACCAGAACATCGACCGAGGCACGTCGCCATTCTGCAAGAGCTCGGTCCTTCATGCAACCCCAACGCCGGAGTCAAACGCCTTCCCAAGTATGGTCCTGCTCCCTGCAAGCGGGCACATCAACAACGGTGACCTTCTCTATAAAAACCCTCGCGTTCGGAACGAGTGAGAGAAAAAAAAGAGGGAGAAAAAGCCTCCTAAGATTATCGACTGACTTGACCGTCGGAGGGGTCGGGTCGAGCTCTCCCGACCTGACCTGTATGTAGGGACAGAGATGGAACGCCACTCCACCGCGCACCCAGGTGAGGAGTTCCCTCCTAGAGGAAACGTCTGCCCCGTCGAGACCGGATCAGCGCACTCGGCTACCTTAGCACTCTCAAGGGTAATCCCGAGAGATCCCCACTCATTCGGACTTGAACTCAACCGTGTTGGCCCTGAGGCCGCGGCTTAAAGTTGTTGACACCAACACCATGCACTGGAGCCCAATTTGACCAGTATATTGGTCTGCGGGCTCTCCACCTTGGGAACCTTGGTCACTGAAAGGTGTTGGAAATTATCACCAAGTTGACATACCTCGAATAGGTATCTCGCTATGGTTGAATCTCGCTCTTTGTCGTCTCCGTTGACACTATTGTCACTAGCAGTAAGTCGTTGAAGACTTTTTGCTCCTCCGCGTGTAGGTCCAAGGCCAGTCGGAGTGCTAACGGTAGTGCCTCGTACTCAACCTTGTTGTTGGTGGCTTTGAATCCGGAATGTAGCACACACTTGTGTAGCTGGGCATCGGGTCCCTGTAGGACGGGGCCGACTCGCCCCCTCTTGGCATCAGCCAATTTGTCAACCTCTGAAAGTCATCTCAGGTGGCTTGACAAGGTGCGCCTTTAGCCTTTTGAAGGCTTTTTGGTAGTCCACTTCCGGTGGGTCACTGGGCTTCCTTAACCAACTGAGGGGGCTACACCTTGCCCGAATCTTTTGGGGATTTGTGTCTGCACCCGTCTAGCGAATGACGAAGCCAAGGAGCTCGCTCGAGCTAACTCTGGGGATCAAAATGGCGGGATTGAGATACCTACAGAACCTTCCGAGTGTTCGGGCCATCTCATCGAGGTCTTCTAGGTGGGCTCCAGCGACTTTGTTCCTCTCGATCATGTTCGATGCTCTGGGTTGTCGGCCGATCATAGTAGTCTTAAGGCGTAGGGGAAGAAGCTAGCCAAATCGTAGGCATGGGTAATAGTTGTCTACTGGACCATATGCTAGTCGATGGCCAGCGTTCTTACGACATCGGGCCCTCCTTCTAGTGTAAAAAATGTTTTGCACCTTTATGTCATGGCTGAGGTGTCAGCATGGCTTGGCCCGTCCCGAGTGCGCAAGATCACCAGTGCGATCTCTGAGCTAGAGAGTATTAACTTGGAGTCGGGTTAAAAGGCTGTGAGCCAGGTTCGCCAGGTTGCAGGTTGAAGACCACTCCTTTCGTTGTTTGTCGGGTTCCTGTATACAAGTCGACGTCAGGAAGGGACTTCTTGACTCGATCCCTTCGATGCTTAAATTAGCAGGAGTTGGAAATGGGAGAGTTGGAATGTGGGTGTGTACCAGACGCCCCCCCCTACGTGTAGTCGTAGCAGCCTTAATGATCCTCGGTCGTTGTCGTACGTGGGTATTTAATGCCCGCTGATGCCTCAGGCAGTCGGCTCGTACATGGGGTGCAGGCACCATATGGTCTACTCGATTTAGTCTCGTTCGCTGCTTTCTGCCTCTTGTGTGGCCTAGTACATGGTCGCGCTGTCTCGTATGACTTGGAGCGGAATGTAGAGGGAAGGCGTTAGGCAACTGAGTAACCTCGGGCTTATGATGTTGAGTAGGCTCTGCACGACACGTTGACTTAGGAATGCCATATCGAGTCTTTATGCCGTGGCTGAAATATGCTATATCACATGGGATCTATTTCATGGATTTGATGGTGGCGTAGAATTGCACCACTTTTACTTGTCAGATAAACAATAAGATGTGATTTCCCATCCAAATGCATTTGAAGCATCTGCAGATCAGCTATCTAACAGTGTCTGAACATTGGCACCCCGGGGAAGGGGATTATCGCAGCTGATGGGTCCACGGGAAAAACTGGTAAGCGTCTGACTAGCAGCAATGTCGAAGCCAACCATTGTGCACTACGTGAGCTCCTCTTCTGCCCCCCTGGTGCCCTCTAGTATATCAGTGGTGTGATCCTCTTTGAAGAGAACTTGTACCAGAAGAGGGTCGACGGGAAGCGTTTATTGAGGTCTTGAAGGAAGGAGGTGTCCTTCCGGGTATTAAGGTGGACAAGGGCACTGTTGAACTTGCCGGCACCAATGGTGAGACCAGTACCAAAGGACACGATGACCTCGGCAAGTGCTGTGCCAAGTACTATGAAGCAGGCGTTCGGTTTGCCAAGTGGCGACACTAAATGATGTCAATGAATAGACCTCGTGATATTAATTGGTGTGCTGAGGTGACACAGAGGGTGCTTGCTGCCTGCTACAAAGCACTAAATGGCCACCATGTCCTCCTGGAAGGGTATCCGCCGAAGCCAAACATGGTGACACCAGGGTTGGACGCAGCGAAAGTGGCACCGGAGGTAGTGGCGGAGTTACACAGTCCGCACCTTGCTAAGGACTGTGCCGGCAGCAGTGCCAGTCATTGTGTTCCTCTCTGGTGAGCAGAGCGGGGAAGAGGCTACTCTGAACCTGAACGCCATGACTGGCTTAAAGGGAAGAAGCCATGGTCGCTTTCTTTCTCCTTTGGCCGAGCACTGCAGCAGAGCACATTGAAGACGTTGGCTGGGAAGGAGGAAAACGTGGAGAAGGCAAGGGCTGCTTTCTTCTCGAGGTGCAAGGCTAACTCAGAGGCGACGTTCGGTGCCTACAAGGGAGATGCTGTCAAAGGAGAAGGCGTCTCAGAGAGCCTCAATGTGAAGGACAACAAATACTGACATTGGTAATGCCTCCTATTATTCTCTCTTTCTGTTAATTAGAGTTATATTTACATGTTGAGGATGTGTTTGGTAGGTATTTCCTGTGCTCTTTCTTTTGATGCTTAGAGTCCTTTTGGCCTTAAGGCATCATGTTCTAGTAATCCAGTAATCTTGCATTAGGAAAGAGCTTTGCATGCTTGTTAAAGTTCTGAGTATTTAGTGTAAATCCTGTGGTTTATCTTAGTTGAGTGTTTACTGCAACTTGCTAAATTTACGAGTGATGCTAATTAAACTTTCAGTGTATGTGCTAATCACTGATCATCTTATAACTCTATGATTATATCCTCAACTTTCATTGATTATCAAATCCATTAAGAGCCAAAACAGGGGGAAATTGAAATCTTAGATCCAAACTAATATGAACTGCCTAAACAAGAAATTTTGGATGACGAAAACCAAGGCGTATTACTTACCACATCAGACAATATCTGTGAGGTTGATAGTAGGGCTTAGCTAATCAGTGGTATAGAGTAATCAAATAACTGACTTCTGTTTTTGTTAATTTCTGCCCTTAATTGTGGTATGTTTTATAGATCAAATTTATTGAAGAAAACAACAAAGAACAGAGAGTTTCATACCAACAATTCATCAACTATATTAATGTTCCTATCTTTCCGATCAACTATATTAATAGTCAACTCGTTCCTATCAACTATATTAATGTTCCTATCTTTCGTATCTACTATATTGATGTTCCTATCTTTCCTATCAACTGATCGGGCGGATCTCCTCTTTATTGGGTGCGCACGGCCGAACATTTCATATGACAGGGATTGCCACAAACCTGTGAAAAGATTCATTCTGTAATGCTGGCTTGCTAATGCCCAAACTTTTATTAGAACCATTCAGTGAGGCAAACAATCATAGAGATTGTTTACTGAAAGAAAATTTATTAATAGACACCTTCCTATTTAGAGTTTTATATCTTACACATTTCAGTATTTGGATTCTGCCTATCAAAGGAAATCAACTTCGTGAATGATCCTTTCGGTTCACGGTTTCATCAGTAGTTGTTTGATGAAAGATAGAACCCCGGGCACATCGACTGTCCATGCAACTGATGCAGGTGTATAGCCTGTCCAAGGATTGCTCGTGATCCACCTGCAAGATAAGTACTTTAGGGTAAGTGGAGAAATAAGACTGTTAAGAGATGATTGAACGTAAGCTGGTAGAGCATTACTCTTTTAATCCATCGTCCATTAGTGTGTGGCCCATGCAAATACCCTGTGTTTCCACCCTCACGACCCCCTTTTTGAACGTGAAGAGATCTGGGCGGACTAATGCCGCAAAACTGACAGGATCATGCAGGAAAATACCTGCACTAATAATAGCTGTCATTTTTTATATATATCCCTAGTGTCATTTGAAGTGAAGTAGAGAGTGCGTGGAAAATGGTAATCTACCATGAACACCCTCAGACTGGACGTGCCAGTCTCTCAAGAATTTGCACATGTCACTTATGGTTTGCGAGTGCCTTCCTTTAGAGTTTCTTAGCTCAGATAGATCCGCATCTGAAATCGTAGACCGCTCAGTTTATGTTCGTAAATGCAGGATGAGAGGAACATCAGCTTTAATACCTGTAAATTTGACTTGAGTCGTAATGTTTATTCCCACAACAGTTATGTCTGCTCCACATGTGAAGACAATGTCAGCTGCCTCTGGATCTCCATAAATCTGCAAGATCAGGGTAGAAGATGTTTAGAACCTTACCAAATCCATGCTAGCTATTCAACAAACAAAACAGGCTCAATTGTGAATGAACTAGAGATCTCATATCCTCTTTAGAAAACAAAACAAGCATATTATAAATTGATAGTAGTACACTCATTAGATCTTTATAAGTCAATCTTAGTCTTCTCTACTTGAAGTGATCGGGATGTTATAATTTATAATTCTTTTTACGAGCTTGAGGTTCTCGTGATGAGTTCTCTGGATACCAAATGTCATGATCCAAGCTTGATAAGCTAACTGACCTATCAACTTCATTTGGCACAAATCACTGGTTAAAATGTTTAGGTTGAAATTAATAATAACACATTCATCAAATCCTTATAAGTCAAAATGCTTAGATTGAAATTGATAATAATATACTCATCAAATCTTTATAAGTTAATTTTATTCTTATCTATTTCAGATGTGAAACTAATTAAGATATTACAAACATTCGGATGAAAGTTATAATTTATAAAGTAATAGCTTTGGTAGGATAGTGAGTCGATGAAATTAGCTCTTCATTAAGTACTTTTCAGTGGGACGGGTCTTTAGCTGGAGATATCTCAGTAAAAGCATCATTTTTTTTTATCATTAATGAGATCTCGATTGTCAGCAGCATAAGCAGTATCTCGGTATAAAGAATTAGTAGATATTAGGTTCCATCTCATTAATAGACTTTAAAAAAAATTACCGTAAATCCTGTAGAGACCTATAGAAAGCATGGAGATAATTTGTAAGAATTAAGGAAAGGTTTCAAAAGAATGCTCGCAAGTTATGGTCAAAATAAAGCAGACTAGCACGCCCAGTTTATGTAGGTGTAATGGAAAATGTGTAAGAAAAAAGCCATAGGTGCTTTACTGACGAGTTCTCGGTCATTGCATTTTTTTACTGACATAAATAACAGATAAAACCAAATAATCAATGCATAATTCATGTGAAAAATACTTTACATTTGCTTCGGCAGCCGGGTTGACATTTCCAGCAGTAAAGAAGGCCCCGCCAAGAATAACTATTTTCTTCACGTTGCTTGCGAAGCAAGGGTCTCTTTTGATAGCCTAGTCATACAATCAAAACACAGATCAGGCAAATTTAGTTCCTTGTTCGTAAAAGTCGGTCTTCTGAACATCTCGACAGATGCTTACCAACGCTAAGTTTGTTAAAGGACCCAATGCAAGGATGGTTACATCACCAGGGTACTGAGAAACCATCTCAACCAAAAACTCTGATGCGTTTTTATCCATCTTTTCTCCCACCGGTGGCGGTAGAAATATATTGCCAAGCCCATCAGATCCATGAATAAAATCAGCAATACTTGGCTCTTCTCCCTACAGGAAATAGAAAAGCACGCTTACCAGTTGTTGCAGCTAAATAGAGTTCAAACATGCAACTCCTAGTACAATCTAATTACGCCAATGCGAATAAAAAGCAGGTTTGGTTAAATTAAACATGATATAAGATCAAACCATGTGGTTCTTGTTACTGAGAAGGTTCTGATTCATACCAAACTACGTGTACACAGGCCCGAATGCTTAGTAACTCCTCTTTCACTGTGCATTCTCACTATGGAAATGAGAAAACATCAAAGAATCCAGCAATTGTTAAGGTTAAGGTTCTTCATATAGATGAAGACGTGAACATATGTTGATGTCCCGGTGAGGAATCACCCTACAATTTGAGGCACTAAATATGCAGTTTATCTTTTGCCAACAAGCAATACGAATACAGAATACTAATCATTCGAGGTAAGTGCGTTATGCAGTCATGCATCAAATATAGGCAGTCATCAACAAGAATTATGACAACGATCGCTACCTTTAAAGGTTCATGGCTTCCTTCTGCTACTGGAACTTGACGGTGTCCTGCGATCTCACACTATCGGATTTCAACATTACAGATTATAAGTAAAGACAGATGTGAAAGGAAAACAAGAACATAATCATGAAGTGGGAGGAGAGTACCAACAGCAAGGCATTGCGAGTGGCATCTTCGGTGCGCACGTTGCCAAATATTGTTGTCAGACCTAAGATTTCAATCTCTGGTAATTGAAACGCCATTAATATGGTCATACTGTCATCTGCAACCAAATTAAACACATGTATTCCACAGGTATGAAGTGTATCTTTCACCATGACCATGTACAGTAAAAAGCATAAAAGCAGGTATGTATGTAATCAGTGTATCTTCTCCTTATTCATCATCTAATGAAACGGATCGAGGAAGTGATTGGACGAAAGATGGAGTAAGCGTGATCTTGAATCACGCAGTGGACAAAATCTACTCGAGGAATCGAGAACTATCGAGGGAACCAATCTGGCCCTTTAACAGTTCGTCGAGAAGCAGAGGGGAGGACGATCAAATCAACTTATGCGCTAAAACCTGCTCCGTCGATTCAAGCAGCTCCCCTTTACATCCAGGCACGCACATACAGAAAAAATACTCGATAGACAAAAAGATCGGAACGAAGAACGAAACATCAAGCCATAAACATCAGGACGAAGAGGAGGGGAGGGGAGGGGAGGGCACCTATCCCGGGATCCGTGTCGATGATGACCTTCATGGGGCCATCAAGACACGCGTGGCTCCCGCTGTCGCTTGCCGGCGATCCATCGGCGGAATTGGACTTCATCGCCTCGCTCTATCTCCCTCGTCGAGCAAAGAGATCGAAGAGGAGGAGGGAGACGCAGAAAAGGGAGTTGGAATGGCGAAGCGAGGGCAGCTTGCGGCGAGGAAATGCCACACGTGGCTAACGATAATTGGATCAGCAAGCCTATACGCTTTGGACCAGCGTTGCTCTTACGAGACTAACATCAAAATCCTAATGATACCTACTTTGGTAGGCCGCCCACAAAACAACCAAGGATACCGTTGCCATGTAAAGGGATGCAGCACGCGTGGGTGACACGTGGGCGTGCCGAGGAAGCCTTCTATTATTGTTTCGTCTTCGTGTTCGGATTTTTATGTTCGTAAGGTTCTCTCGGAACGTTAGTCCACGTGTCGATGGCATGCGGAGTGATTTTTACATACCTAAGGTGGGATAAGATGGGGACGGTGAGTGACCCAAAAGGAAGGTAACCTAGCGAATGAAACACGTCCACGTGTCGAATTAGGGGACCCACGGTAGGCGACCCAGTTCCCTCGCGTGTCACCTGCAATAGAGTTGGTGATCTTAAATCAGATTAAAAGAGAAGAAAACCTACAAATTCTCCCATTAATATTCATTATATCCCTACGTTAAGATTCTCTTACAAATAATTCTGCGGTTAATATTCATCCAAAATAAAGTATCTTCTAACCATAATTAGAATTAATTATATTTCCTGATCTTTATTTCAATAATAAGTTTTCAACAAATATTTAAGTCATTTATGGTTTTAACTAACTGCAAAATGATAGTTAGTTGATGGATAATAACTATAATGTAAATAAGTAAAATTTCTAAATTTGACAAGATATATATACCTATGTGAAATTTAAATATATAAAAATAAAAATAAATTTATTTTAAAAATAATAATTTTATTTGTGAATAATAATTTTATTTGTGAATAATAATTATGTAACGTTTCCGGATAAGATGTGATAGAAAGTTGAAATCATATGAGCAGATGTAGAAAATGACCTAAAAATTTTAATAAAAAATTTAAATATTTTAAATTTAATTAAACATATAACCCTTTATATATATAAAGATGGTGATAAAAAATTCATACACAAATCACTAATAAAAAGATGGAGAAAAAAGAATGTGATATATACAACTCGATTCTTTCTTAAATTTTAACTTATGATTCGAGTTTTTGTTTAAAAAACGAAATTCAAATTATTGCTATTAAGATAGAAACAAATACATTATCGAACTTTCTTATGTCCAGTGGAAAACAAGACATCGAATACACATAAAAGAAAATATTAATAGCAACGATGCCCTCTTCAGGGGTGGTGTCATCTTCTTTTCTTTAACCCTCTTGCCCCACCACCACCAATTTCATCTTCCTCTTTGTCATAGAAGTCAAGCAAGTGGGCGATGATAATAAGTATGCGTTTGACACGGCTTCCCTACCAAGACAATCATATCATTATCAGGTGAGATATTCCCTACCAAGATGATAGGGTATATCTGGGGACTCTACCTCCAACCACTATTCTCAGTCATATTAGCATCAAGGACATCACGCCGGATTATACCCTTCGGTCAACACCAATTCCCTAAAGGTCGAACGATGTTGACCAGCGCCATCCCGCAAAGGTTGGGATGGCGCCGAACGAGTATCGCATCGACCCACAAAGGCAAGGTCGACACGACACTGACCAAGTACAGTACCGTCCCGCAAAGGTCGGGACAATGCTGAACGAATATCGCACTGACCTATAAAGGCAGGGTCGGCATGGCGCTAACCAAGTACAGCGCTATCCCACAAAGGTCGGGATGGTGCCGAACGAGTATCGCACCGACCCACAAAGGTAGGGTCGGCATAGTGCCGACCGAGTACAACACCATCCCGCAAAGGTTGGAACGGTGCCCGTCGAATACAATGCTATCCCGTGAGGGCCGGGACAGCGTCAACCGATTACAGCACCGTCCTACAAAGGTCGGGACAGCACCCATCGAGTACAACGCCGTCTCGCAAGGGTCGAGGCAGCATTGACCGAGTACAGTG